TACGGGTAAGTTAATATCTCGGGAACCACGGAGTCTAGGAGGCTAAAATTTTAGGGTAATGACCCCTTGCCCAAGCTCAACCTTGTCCATTCAAATTCAGCGTTCCCGCGCTCTCGGATACCACCTACTGGCTAGTGAAAATTTTGGCGGGTAAACTATTAATTCGGGAATCACGGAAAGATATTCACCCTTCAAGGTTTCGAATTCAGCTTTCAGGGAATCACGGAAAGATATTCATCCTTCAAGGTTTCGAATTCAACTTTCATACGCTGGTGCATGAAATCGAAATCACGGAAAGATATTCATCCTTCAAGGTTTCGAATTCAGCTTTCATACGCTGGTGCGTGAAATTCTCACGAAAAGATATTCATCCTTCAAGGTTTCGAATTCAGTTTTCATACGCTGGTGCGTGAAATTTTTGTCTGGTCTTCTTTAGTTTGAACTATTTTTGCATAGACTAAAGTACAAAGCAGTGAAAATCATTAAGAGGCAATCGTTCGATGGGCTGAATTGCACAAAACGCATGATCACACCGGCTAGTCTGGTGCGCGTTAGCAATCGTTCGATGGGCTGAATTGCACAAAACGCATGATCGCACCGGCTAGTCTGGTGTGCGTTGCTATTTATTATGTTCGATGGGCTGAATTGCACAAAACGCATGATCGCACCGGCTAGTCTGGTGCGCGTTGCCATTTATGATTCTTATTTCAGCCGTTGTTAATATACCTCTCTACTGTAACAACGCAGTTCTAGAATGTCTCAAAAATTTTTAATGCCAATTCTACAGTATCTTCAAAAATTCTATTCCCAAAACTGTTGAGGATCCTGTAATTCAAGAACAAAACTGCAAGATTTTTAAGAACTCTAAAATGCAATTTTCGAATCCAAAAATTTAACTACACAACATCCAGATATCATAACGGTGTCCTGGAATTTTAGAATTGTAATCTCATGATTCACTAGTGCTATTCTTCAATGCTGTTAATGGCTATATGAAAAGCGTACGCTTGGATCGTTTCCTCTTCAATGCATTTGACAGTTTCTTCCAACAACACGCCTTCATATCGGCACGATGCAAACACTGATGTTATTAAGGAACGAAATTTTGCATATGTTGCACCACTGAAAATTCAACTTATAATGAATTCTGCTCAATTATAACAGCACATTTTTATGCATTTTTTCTGTGCAGCGCTATAGCGCTGCTACAGCGAGCAAAAACGCATATTGTTGAGAGGCCGTCTGTGTATTTGTCAGCCACTTTCACTTCGGCAGCAGGAAAGCTGGGAGGCTGAAATTTTGGGGGACATATTTCTATCCCATTCCGTTTTAAAATTTTCGCTTATACGCGTCTAGACCTCGCATACGGGTCTCCAAAAAAATATGCAAATTTCTTTGGCAGTAAACGATTTCGTGAACCAGGTAAGGTACAAAGCTGAAACTTTGCAGGGATATTCTCTGTGCATGTGCGAGCTAAGGATTTCAAATTCAGCTCTCGCGAATGCTTGTGTGGCGCGTGTAATCACGTTAAAGTTTGCACTTGGCACTGTCCTAACTCGAAAACTAGCCGGAAAACATTGGCTGAAATGTTGTCAGCAAGTTTGTCGTTCATGTGAGAAATCGTATACCTCAAATGAGCAAAAACCGACTGGGCTTCACGCAAAAAGCTGATAATCATGTATCTGAACGTCCATGCGGCCCTATGACGCAACACTTCATCCCAGCCGACGCTCTTTCTCGTGCATGCCGGAAGAGGCCAAAGCACGGCCAATATAAGCCCAAGTTTTAGGCTACAGCACAGGGAACATTCCTGCCAGTAGCACTCTGCTAGTTTAGTGCAAAAACGCATAATCGCACCGACAGGCCTGTGCGTTCCAGCCTGGGTTTCCTTACACAAAAGCTGGTAGCATCAGCGCA